CACATGGGATCCGAACCCTCGGCGGGAGCGCCGCTGTGCTCCCAAGTGGTGCACTCTCCAGTGTGCCACCGGGCCGGCCCCTCGGGTTTTTTAAATCAGTCTTTTAGTGGGCTATCCAAGTATTTCAGATCTTATAATTGCTTACTTTGATAAAATTTGTGTCTTGGATTTGTCAACCTTTTTTTAGGGTCAGGCAATGAAGAAATATTTACTGAGTACAAACCAAGGGAAGGAGCCATTATCAATTACCTGCTGTAAACCCATGTTGAATTCTTTCCACCTAGGCTGTCTTTACAAATTTATATATGCTATTCTCTACAAATAATATATGCTATTTCAAAATATAAGACAATGGTTTTTTGAGGGTGAAAATGTTTTATCAGCTAAATATAACTGCCATTAGCATCTCAACCACATATGATTAAAAGACAAAAGGCTTTAATTTTGTTTTTTAAATTTTCTTTAGGTATTTTTTCTGTTGTTTAGTAAGTCCAGTTCTGTAGGTTCTTCTATTTAATATATATTAACAAAAATTCTGCTCTTACATTAGCATCTTCTAAATGTCACACCTTCTGTGGCTAGCCACTAGTTCTGAAAATATAGTCTCAATTGAGGGTACTAAATGATTATATGTATTTTGAGTATTTTTTTCCTCTGAAATCCTTAGAATCCTAGCTTATCGGCCAGTGATATGATTTCATTTTTATAGGTGGCTATGCACCATTTCTTTCTTTGACTGCCAGAGAAAGTGCTTTTACTGTTGCCTCTAGCACTGAGAAAGCTTTTCCAGGCCCAGGACATTATAATGTTTCAGAAGCACAGGTAAACTTTTAAAGTTATTATTATAATTGTCTGACTTAATAGAAATCATGTTTTCTTTTTCTGATAGACCAAAATGTCATTTTTCATATTTTATTTTCCCTTCATATTATCTTTTTTTTTGCTTTTCAATCTATATTTTGTAATTCAAATAATAGAAAATAAAAGCATGCAATGATGGTTGCCCAATTGGGTGACTCAAAACATTGTTACATTGTTACATGCTGCATGGTCCTTGAGAATGGGAGAATAGGACTCTTGAATGAATTATGACCCATGAAAGTTGTGCAGATGGTCAAGATATGTAGAAAAGGGATGGCAATAGAGTGAAGGAATTGATTTTTGTATCATATGCTAAAGCTATAGTCATTGCCATTGTCTCGTCTGTCTCCTGTTTCTGCACGGTCTTGAGGGTCAGTGACCAGAATATCTTTGATGATCCATTCATGTTCAGAAATAGTGGATATAACTCCAATGTCTTCGTGGTCATAAATGTCATCTTTTATCTTTTCCACATAAATTTTGTGTTTATACATAGTGGCTCCTAGGTGACCCCAGCAGACCTTTTATTCCCCTGTTGGAGGCCTAGATAAAGTCCTTGTTGAGGTATTCAATATAAATTCAAATTGCAGTTTGAATTGCATGATCATAGAGCTTACAGTAATGGCTTTCAAAGAATCAGTTTGAAAAGGTCTTTTTTCACAAGATTTTACTTTTTTTCCAACTAGTAATGTTAATGTTTTTGCAAAATAAAGTATATTTTTATAGATCCCAGCTCTTTAAAAATAGGAATTTTGATCTATTGAAACAGAAGTCAAGTAGTGAATTGGCTATTTAAAAATAAAATCTGACTCATTTTTTTAAAAGAAGACCTCCTTTGTGTAAAAGCTGAATTAGGTTAACTAAGATGCAAACGAGAGATAGGCTCTGTTAATAGTGACTGTGAACAACTGGCATATGAAAAGGGCTGTTGGGAAATCAGTGACTTTCTAAAAAAGTCTTAGCTGATCAATCAAATGCCAACCACATCTTTGAAATGACTGCACTATAACTTTTTATAAGAACCTGTATGATAGAAATCTATCTGAATTAACTGGCTATTAGTTGATAATTTTCTGATTCTGGAGAATCCAGATATGTGGCATGGAGAGCCACAGAAGATTCATCCCAGTGTCTTCTCTGTAATAAACCATGTTTAAAATTAATCTGAGCATAAAACCAAGCTGTTGCCAGTAAACCTACATAAACTTTCCTGGAAATGACCAAAATGTTATTCATGAAAATAATTAATCCCAAGCAAGCTTGGAAGGCTTTTTTTAAAAAAAGTTCATTTCAGGTGTACAAATTTTCCAGGGGCCTGCAAAACGTACACTCTTTATTATTGTTCTACAGCCTTGGGAATTTCTGTCACTAATTCATGTTCTCTTACAGTGCTCTAAGTGCAGTAAATTTTAGTATGAGTTCAAAGTTAAAACTGGCACCTATACTTGTCATCCTCTCTTATTATCCTCTTTTATTAGAATTATGTCTTTGGTCAAGGGTCTTCACTTTCTCAGATGGGGTTTTAAAACCATTTGTTCATAGTAATAGTTAATATTTATTAAATGGGAATTAAGTATAAAGTGCTTCTTTTAATTATTGCATAATTTTTTTCTGTCCAATTTAGTTTAATATAAAAGGAGGCTATAGTCTACAAAACCGGGAGAAACGTTTTAAGAAGTTTATTTCAGATAATCCGGGACCAGCAAGCTATGATCAGTCTTATGCTGGAACACAAGATATCATGAACAGAAAAGTACTGGAGGCTAAAGAGCGTCTTCGATCAGTATGTTGCTATTTTAAATTATGCTACTAATGATATTTCTTTTAGTTAAAATAGAAAAGGTTTAATATTTTATGTGATGTTAGGTACATTTACAAAGCCTTATTATAAAGAAACAATTTAATTTGATCTTGAGGAAGGATTCACTAAATAGTTAAAAAGAATGGGAAAAAACATTCCACACAAATAAAGAATTTGAGGTGTTTTATAGCATGGTTCAGGAAAGAACAAAGTTCTTTGGAACATTTGGAGTATAGCTGGAGAAGAAGGTAGGCGCTGTATTTTGGAAAGTCTTGATACCATTTAAATACTTTTTGAAAGTACTCAGTGGAGTGGAAACCGTTCAGTGCTTTCCTATTTTAATTTATTAATTAATCTCAAGAGTATCACTGAAACTACTTAATAGTCTGTAGTGATAAAAAATAAAATTCTGCCAGTGATAGTATGTTTATAACATGACTGTATATGGGCATGTGTGCATGCAACTACAGCATTTATTTTTTATTCAGAAGCTACAGGGATCAACATTTTTTTTTTTTTTTTTTGCAGCTGGCCAGTATGGGGATCTCAACATATTCTTTTTTTTTTTTTTTTGTCTTTTTTCCGTGTCCGGCAACGGATCGCAACCCTCAGTGTTGCGCCTGTACTGGACCAGGACTGGCAACGGGATCGCAGCCCTCGGTGTTGCTCCTGCGCCTTGCTCAGCCAGTGAGTGGGAACCGGTCTGTATGTGGGATCCGAACCCTCGGCGGGAGCGCCGCCGCGCTTCCCAAGCGGCGCACTATAGCAGTGCGCCACCGGGCCGGCCCCTCAACATATTCTTAATAAGTTAATTTTCCAGATAACCAAATCCTTTAAATGCCAATATTTTTATTTGATCTATTTTATATTATTATTTATAATATACATTTCTCCTTCCTGTTTTTATTTAAATTATAAAATATTTTATATCAAAGCAAATTTTGAAAAAAGCATAATCACCCTAAAATTTCTGACTCTAACATAAGTATTTTGTTAATTTTTACATAGCTTCTTTTAGTATTAAATCTTATATAAATATGACTATACATTTATATGATTTCACATAACTTACATAGCTATATTAATACTTCAATTTTATATTTTCATGGTTCCATTTAGCATTATATCATAGACATTTTCCTGCTACATAATCTGCATAATTAGGATGTTAATCCAAGCACAGGTGATATGGAGACAAATCAGGAGCTGGGAAGGAATAAAGCCAAGAAAGGTTCCTGAAAAACATCAAATTTGTTTTTGCATGGCAGATATTACAAGAGCATGATTGTTGATGTGACTATAGGAATACCTGTTTTTAGAATCAGTAATATTTGCTTTATTGAACAAGATAAATAACTGACCCAAATGAGAGAGTATCCTTGCTTCTTATGTTGGCTTTAATAGTAATGGCATATATTCTCTTGGTTTATAAGATGAGGGGAGACTTGAATTCACTCCTTTAAACCACTTTTACAAAACGTTTTTAGTTTATAATATGAAACTCATTAAATCAATATTTAATAGTTGCCTTTTAGTAAATTTTAATGTTTTTTATTCCCTCTCCTCTTGCCCTTGAGTAAATAATATAAAATGTTTTCCCTACAGAAAATTTCAACAGCACCTGTGGCTACCAGAAATTTTGATGTTCCTTCAATTCCTTCTTATGGACAGTCATATGGTTATCATATTAATGAGGATGGCAGTATTATAAAACACTTTCCACCTGCTAGTGACCCTACAATAGGTCCAGCATATTACAAACCTCAATTTGTAAGTGTAATGCATTTCATATTGACAATGGGAAGATTGTTTATGATTAGACATGTTTTAATTAATGTAACACTAACTTCAGTAACAAACAGACCCCCAAATTTCAGTGGCTTAACAATTGAATTTTTTCCCCCTCATTCACATGGGGCATTCCTAGTAGATAAATGACTTTCCTCCATGTGGAGATTCAGGGACACAGGCTTATCCCATTTGTGTTTCTATGATCTCCTAGGCCCTTGTTGTCATTTGCATCCAGCTGGCAGAAGAGGGTGAAGGATTATGGGTGAGAGGTTTTTGTAGGCCAGGCCTAGGAGCTAACGCTCAGTCACATGGCCATAGTTAACTGCCAAGGAGGCTGGGAAAGATAGTCTAACTGTATTTCTAGGAAGAAGAAGAAATAGGTGTACATTACTAGAAGTCTTGCCACAATGTATAATCATATGTAATATGTAGATATCCTTTTCCTGCATTTGGAATCAAAACAGAGCATTTTATTTATAAAATAATTTGAATCAGAGTGTAAGCATCATTTGTTTCACAAATGAGTGTAAAAAAAGATAAGGAACTTGTCTGTCATTGAAATATCAAACATAATATAGCAGATCCATCTTATCCAGAGTTTAAACTTTAAACCAGGCCAGAGTCGAGTCAAGATTTCATTCAACCAGTTGAAATATATGGGTTATCCATAAATATAGCTTATGAATACAGATAGTATGTCTGGTTTTACTCAATTACAAGCCAGAAGTACATAGTATTTAAAACCTATTGTATTTTTATACTTACATGAGATCTGGAAGAAGTAATCCTAGTGAGTAAAATGGCAAAAGTTAAGCATAGATTTAAGGAAAAGCTTAAGAGACACCTTGGGCAAAGAAAAGGCATTCTCAGGATTGGACTTGGCTTGATCTTCATTCGCAATATTCTGTAGTTATTTGTTGGTACATGTCTCTATCTCTGGGCTTAGGCTCAAGCACCTTCAGTAACCATTTGGTTTGTGGCAGTAGGTATACTGGGAAGCTTTGGGGGTCTTAGATTCTCTGAATTATTAACATCGTTTTTCTTAAAATATTTTTATTGCAATTTATATAATATATCAAACTTATAGATAGTACAAAAATAATAGTGAATACCCATATACCTTCACCCAGATATAACACATGTTAAAAATTTGTCTCACACTTGAATTGCTATATTTTAAAAGAAATATATGATTACAGTTTTTAGCCCCTGCATTCCCCTCTATCCATCCCTCTCCCTTTGCCAAAGTAAATACTAAACCTTGATTATATATTCATACATGAAAACCAGTTTTTTTATGATTTAAAAAATTTAACGGGCCAGCCTGGTGGCGCACTGGAAAGTGTGCTGCTTGGGAGTGCGGCGGTGCTCCCGCCGAGGGTTCGGATCCCATGTGGAGACCGGTTCCCGCTCACTGGCTGCGAGCGGCGCGGGCGCAACACCGAGGGTTGCGATCCCGTTGCCGGTCAGTAAAAAAGACAAAAAGACAAAAAAAAAAAAAAAAAAAAAAAAAAAAGGGC